TTATTTCAGTCAATGGCAAAGCCAGACCCATCTGTCCAGTGATCAGACATTATTGATACTACTCAAGGAAATCAAACTGTGTAACGAAGCTCATGTCTTTCACTGTTGCTTACACAAAGCACTAACTTCTGTCCAAAAGTCTACTGTTGATGAAGTGATGTGACGGGTGCTGCTGTCTAAGCTGTAACCGCTGTGTTTCCTTAGGAGAGGCACCATGCGAAAACAGTTGGAGAGATTAAACAGTTTGTCTCGCAGCTGCCCCACATGCAGGCAGCAAGGAGTTCTCTGGCAAACCATACCTCAATTGCAGAGCTAATCAAAGACATTACTAGTGAGTGAATTTCTAAGTCTTCCCTCTACAGCTGGTTTTGTGTTGCACCTTTTGTTGGGGAGAGATAAAGTTTAATTCACTCCACTGTTGAGTGCCAAATTTGTCTATATGTAACTAAAGCTAGAATTACTGAAGGCATTTAACACAGAAAATGAACTGGCTGTTATTTTTAAGTACTGATGTGCTAATGTATTGATTTCCTTTCCATCTTAGCATCAGAAGATTTCTTTGATAATTTAACGGTGGAACAAGAGTTTATGTCGGGAATAGACACAGACAAGGTGAGTTGCAAGGCTAATTCTGTTGTAGATACAGACTTCTGTGACCCCTTGCTAAAAGGTTGGGTATTTTTTAAAAGAGAAAAGCCTGAACAGAGGCTGACTGCCTTTCAGTGGTTCAGTGCTACAGTTCTGGGAGCTTTCCAGAATGCACCAGGCAACCCTGCAGACAGAGGGGATGCACGGTGCTGAGCATACTTCCTGCAAGGGCCGGGGAGCTGTGGTTGTCAGTCTGAGCCTTGGCTCCCCTGAAAGACGTGCAAAGACCTGCACTTTGCCTTGGACAGTGATCTATGGATGGTGTGAGGGTGAGGCTAGTCTGAGTTCTGGCAAACTGCTTCCAGCCTGTCAAATATGGCCCAAGGCTTGATCATGGAGTCACTACTGCTTGTGACATGGAACCAGGGCTCTTACACAAATATCTAAGCTGCCTACACTGCCACTGTGACCTCTGTTCTGTTGCTGTTTAGTGCCTGACGTGAAGATGAAAGCATCCCCCTTCATTTTACTTGTAGCACTAAGAGCTTCTTTTTCAGGTGCGTTAAATTCTCAGAGGGGGTCTGGCTGACAGCTTGCTCGTTTGTTTTATAGGTTAACAATTACGTTGAAGACTGCATTGCTCAAAAACATCCGTTGATCAAGATACTAAGGCTCGTTTGCCTGCAGTCAGTATGTAACAGTGGGCTCAAGCAGAAGGTGTTGGACCACTATAAGCGAGAGATTATCCAGGTCAGGCTGTCATTATTCAGAGTCAATAAATCACAGTGCAAAGCCACATTAAAGCCTCAGTGCTAGACAGCTGCACCCCCTGCACCTCTTCAGGTGTGTGATCCTGGGGATTTCTTTGGGACTATTCACGTGTACAAAGTTAAGCACCATTTGTAAATCTTGACAGGACGAAAGCATCCATGCCTGTCTCTTTTTACGCTATTGCTTAGTATCTGAGAGAGTGCAGGGGGGAAGTTTTACAGCCAGTAATTTATTCCCTGAGGGACATTTTAAATCAAAGTAGCTCACTGCTTCCTTTTATTGAAACCAGGTATCACTTTTTCTCATGTTTTAGTCTATTGTCTATCTGCAGTTTTTGCTTTCTGCCAAAAGGTAGGTAGTTGTGAGCATGTATTTCAACTCTGCACATTGCGTTTCAATACGGACAAGTGCAGGGTGCTGCACTTGGGCAGTAGGAACCAGCAGCACACTTACACAATGGGGAACTCCCTACTTGTGATCACGGAGGCAGAAAGAGATCTTGGAGTCATTATTGACTCCAAGATGAACATGGGCCAACAATGCGAGGTCATGGTTGGCAGGGCTAACCGGACCTTGTCATGCATCCACAGGTGCATCTCGAGTAGAGCCAAGGAGGTGATCCTCCCCCTCTACGCGACGCTGGTCAGGCCACAGCTGGAGTATTGTGTCCAGTTCTGTGCGCCCCATTTCAAGAGGGATGTGGACAACATGGAGAGGGTCCAGAGGAGGGCCACCCGCATGATCCGGGGACAACAGGGCAGACCCTACAGTGAGAGACTGCGGGACCTGAACCTATTCAGCCTCCACAAGAGAAGGCTGAGGGGGGACCTGGTGACCGTCTATAAACTCACTAGGGGGGACCAGAAGGGTTTGGGGGAGACGCTGTTTCCCCTAGTGCCCGCTGGCATAACAAGGAGTAATGGGCACAAGTTGATGGAGAGGAGGTATAGATTGGACATCCGCAAAAACTACTTCACAGTTAGGGCGGCTAGGAGCTGGAACCAACTTCCAAGGGAAGTGGTGCTGGCCCCTACCCTGGAGGTCTTTAAGAAGAGGCTGGATGCCTACCTGGCTGGACTCATTTGAGTCCCGTTTCTTGTTTTGGGGTTTTGTTGTTCTCCTGCCCTGGCGGGGGGGGGGTCGGGCTAGAAGATCTACTAGGTCCCTTCCGACCCTAAATCTATGAAACTATGAAACTATGAAGTAACATCACACAGTCTTAAATTGCCAGAATTGTTTTATTGAATGTTTTGTTTAAAGCATGTCACTTAGGAAACCTTGGTGAGGGCTCTGAGAACTTCAGGACACCCGACTGCTCATTTCCTTTGAAGGAGCTGGTGTAAAAATCACTTGGTTTCACCTCTGCATACATATTGACTGGCACTGCATCTTCATGTTACAGACTTACGGCTATGAACATATATTGACTTTAAACAACCTGGAAAAGGCTGGACTCTTAAAAGCTCAGACAAGTGGAAGAAACAACTACCCGACCATCAGAAAAACCTTGCGGTTGTGGATGGATGATGTTAACGAACAGGTAAACTGAGTATTTTATTGTCTGACTGGTCTGCCCTGAACACACTGACCTGTGCACAACAGCAGGTGTGTGTGCGTAGGGGTTGTCTTGTACTTGCATGACTTTGATAACCTTGTTGACTTGCAGTCACGCTCCCCTCTCTTCCTTCCCCAGAATCCCAATGACATCTCCTACGTGTACAGCGGTTATGCTCCATTAAGCGTGCGTCTGGCCCAGCTGCTCGCGCGCCCGGGCTGGCGTAGTATAGAAGAGGTTCTGAAGATGCTCCCAGGCCCCCACTTTGAAGAGAGGCAGCAACTCCCCACGGGCCTGCAAAAAAAACGTAAGAGCTTGCGTGTGGCAGCTTTTCTCTTTTGGAATAAGCAGGCATAGCTTTTCCAGGGCACTCACTGTAGTCACCCCATTGCAGATGGGGAAGCGCAGTATGGGCCCCAGGCCTGGGTTAGCCCCCTCCCACTAGCACTGCTTCTTTGCAACCCCTTCCCCCCATTTTTGCATGCAGTTGACTGATGCACTGCAAACCCCTCTACGTGCAGGTCAGCATGGGGAGAACCGTGTCACTCTGGTCTTCTTCCTGGGAGGCGTGACCTATGCAGAGATTGCAGCACTGAGGTTTCTGTCCCAGATGGAAGATGGAGGCACAGAGTACATCATCGCCACCACCAAGTTAATCAATGGGACAAGCTGGATCAAATCTCTCATGGAGAAGCTGGAGCCAGCCCCTTTCTAGGATCTGAGCCACCAGCACCTTCCAAGGCTGCCTGGGACGTGACTGTCTTTGGCCGTCACAGCTGGATGTGAAAAGGCCAAGAGAAAGAGCAGTAGCTGGAGAACGGACTGTGAGTGGGGACTGTTCTTTCTGCGCTAGCAGGTGTTATGGTTGCACTTCCCTCCCTGCATTTTCTGTTCTGTTCTTGCTGTACAGAGCACTACCACCTAAGCCACAAGCAGCTGGAGAGGAAATAAATGGTGACTAAAGTATGCGTCTGGTGGTCTCGGAGCTAGGTCGAGGGAAGGTGCTAGTTGGTGGTCTGTCCCCTGCTGCTGCTGTAAGCAGCAAAACAACCCTGCAGTGTTGTGCTACATGGCTGAAGCAATGTTCCTTCTACCCTCTCCCCTGGGAGCCTCCCACAGGCTAATCTCACTCCCCTGTTCTCTCTCCAATTCATTTGTCAGCCTTGCTTGCACCCTCTTGCCTGCTGTTTTCAAAGCTTTATTCACAGGTAAGTCTTGCCTCCTGAGGGTGCTGCAGGGGCTGACCGCCAGACAGGGTAACTTTTGGCAACTGCAAAGCCCCCAAGCTGCAGTGTGCCAGCAGCTGGAAGCATTGTTGCAGCTGTAGCTGCAGTTGTACCGAAGCCGGGGCCTGTTGGGTTGCTGCTCAGGGACAGCCTGTTGCTGCTGCTCCTCATACTGCACCACAGGCTCCTTTGCCGTCTTGGCCCTCAGCTCTACCAGCCCTCCTCACCCCTGCTCTACCCTGGTGGTATCAGGCTGCAGCCCCCCTGCGAGCTCTCCTGTGCCTCTCATTGTGTGCACGCACACACCATTTGGAAGAACTCACTGGCAGTAGAGCCCCTTATCTCTCCTAGTGCTGTGCAGCTTCCAGCCCAGGGCAAGTGCCAGGCCTCTGCCTCCAGGAGCCCTGTCTTGCTGCCTCTCAGCAGATCTAGCTGGGGCTGGCCACCTGTGTCATGCCTTTGCTGCTGACTGGGTTCCCCTAATAGTTTGGGGAAGGGAGAAGCACTACCATTCTGCCTGGGCTCCTGTGTACTCCGAGTACCCACTCCTCCCAGGATACTGGCTCTTCAGACACTGCCTCACTTAGGCAGTAGCAAAACAAAGCACTGCCGAGCCTCACTCCCTTCCTGGCTCTGCTGCTGTCTCAGCCCTTCACAGGACTGGGGCAGCTGGTATAGTTTTTCTATTCACCCCTTACAATCTGCTTGCCAATAAGAAAAAGCACTTAGGCCTTCCCCATTGTCCTGTCATTACTGCCAGCTGCTCTTTGCTGCCTCGGAAAACATAAGGAGAAGAATTGGCTGGGGGAGGTAAAAGGCAGCGTGTTGCCTTTTACCACAAGGCCAGATGGGGAGGAGAAGGTGGAAGCAGCTCTGTACTAAACTGCAGCGAGTGTGCCCTGCTCCCAGGTGCTGGACACCACTTGGCAGTGGGGCTGCAGCCAGGCAGGGCTGAGCGTTACACACAAAAAAGGTAGGGCTCAGTACTGAGAGTTTAAAGGCATAAACCATGTGGCTGGGCAAGATCCAGAGCTCCCTGCTCCTAGGAGCACCATAACCACTGGGCCAGGACAGTAGGATGCTGCCACAAGGTTATGGGGTAAGAGGCTGCACTGTCCTTCCCCAAGTTTGCGTGAGTGCTGCACTTAAGCACCCTGGGCCATAGCATTAAGGTGTGAGACACCCCATGTGCTATTTCAAGGAAGCTACTTCCTCCTGTTTGCAATGCAGTGGTAACCCTGGTCAGAGACCAAGGGTGCAAAGGCCTGACAACACCCACACATTCCCCTTCAGGAGGGCTGGCCTCAGCAGTGCTCAGTTCAGCCTTAGCGCAAGGGTTCTTCCTCTAAAAGGAGAGGCAAGGCTATTTTGGGGAAGCAGGGGTAGTGTCATAGCTTTTACTGCACACCCTTCTGCCCCCGCTGCAAAATGTCAGACAAGCTTTTGAATGCAGGAAGCCGCGAGCAAAAAGCTTGGGTGCCTGGCCAAGCTCTGCAGGTGGCCAATAAACAGCAGCACGTCACAGTAAATAAATCCTTGCCCGTACACAAGTCCTGGTCCACCAACGCACCAGCAGCCTCACCTGAGAGCCCTTTCTCCCAGGTGGCCTCCTCTCCTCTCCCTACCATCACACAGCTCGTGGCACACGGGCATTTGGCTCCATTTACTTTGTTGCCCCCACAGGCCCACTGCACACACAACCTCTTCTAGCCCTGCACTCCTACGTGTAGTTCATCTAGCCGAGGCAGGAAAGCGTGGGGCAAGCTCCCTTACAAAAGCAAAGCTTCCCTTCCACAGTACTGGGCACTGACACTGTCTCAGAAGAGCTTGCCTGTCCCTTCAGCCTTAAATGCTTGTGCTGGCTGAAGGGTTTGGGCACCCCATGCTCCAGTTGCTCTCAGTGGGCCACAGGCTTGGCAGACCAAGCAGCATGCTTGCAGTACCATGGCAGCGGGCCTTAGATTACAGTTAAACTGCACGTGAGCCATCCAGCTAGCAGCTAAGTGAGAGCGCTGCCGAGAGCACACTGAGGCTTTTGGGTTCAAAAACCAAGAGGTAGGGTTTTGAAAAATAAATAAATCTCACAGGCTTACTCAGAGACCAGTTTGTTTGGCTTCACATTTTTCCTACGATACCGCATCTTTGTTACTGCTCAAGACTGAGTCTGTGACGCTATGTAGAGGCTGAGTGAAAGAGCGCAGGCTCTGTGCCTCAGCCAAGCTCCGTGATTCAGAAAAGGGGTAATTTAAAAACAAACCAGTGCTTACCTTCTTCATTCATACCAAGAAACGAGCACGTCGGGGACAACAGTCACTGGCTTTGCCGCATCAAAAACCATTTGTAGCGTGCATCTCATCATGTATCACCCTACACCCAAGCTCAGCCTGTCCTGGCTGAGGGGGGAGGACTTCCTTAACCAGAGGCCAGGTATTGATGGCCTTTCCCTGAAAAAGCAAGGAAGGCTGGAGTTGACCAATTCTCTGGAGGAGCAATTATTTCCTAACAGGCTTCCTGAGTAGCTTGATTATCCCCTGCCGCTGTCTGAGGCCTTGCTGGCCACGCGGGTAATAATTTGATAACAAGAGATCCAAATTCAATTAAGAGGCCATTTGCCAAGCCCTAATGTCAAGAGATTGGATTTGCAGGAGATGCTCTTGCTTCTCTGCTGCCTGCAATTGTCTAGTTGCTCAGGAGCAAAGCAGGATGCACTTCACCTTTCCAATCAGATCAGCAGAAAGCAATGAGCTAAGCACAGGCTGAGCTTGACTTCTTGTTGGTAACAGAGTTTAAAAACCACCTCCCCCTTGGCTGCTGGGAACAGTCTGTGTGTGTGTGCACAGGCTGGAAGGGCAGAATGGGGCTGGTGCTGCCCCACAGGGAAGCCAGCCTGCCTCCGGCACTGCGTGGTGGGACTTGCTACGCCCACAGCCATCCAGCCTGTCATGTTGCGCTGATCTCTGGAGAGCCCCAGCTGTGCTCCAGCATCCTCCTCCTCACAGTTCCTCTGGGCACAGGAGGCTCTAAGAGAACAGACAGTCCTACACTGGGGGACCAAACGCAATAACCTCTCTGACCCCTCAAGGAACTCAAGTGGTGAAGTGAGAGGCAGGAATGCCCCTCAGGACTGCTACAGAAGAATTACGGGGCATCCTGGGGGTGCTGAAGAGCACAGCAGGGAAGGGGCAGGCGCTCTCAAACAGGGGCTGCAGCTCACCAAACCTCCCGAGACTT